CTCTGGAGTTTCCCCTCAACATTATTATTTATCCCAATCCTCTGATTCTCAGTGTAGTATCTTTCTTTCTTTTTTCTTTCTTTTTTTTTTTTTTTTTTTTTTGAGATGGAGTTTCACTCTTGTCCCCCAGGCTGGAGTGCAATGGCGCGATCTCGGCTCACTGCAACCTCTGCCTCCCTGGTTCAAGTAATTCTGCTTTCTCAGCCTCCCGAGTAGCTGAGATTACAGGCATGTGCCACCACACCCACGTAATTTTTATACTTTCAGTAGAGGCGGGGTTTTGCCATGTTGGCCAGGTTGATCTCAAACTCCTGACCTCAAGTGATCCGCCGGCCTCAGCCTCCCAAAGTGCTGGGATTAGAGGCATGAGCTACCATGCCCAGCCAATATGATTTTCAGGAAGCTGATCCAGTAATAGGAAACTAGCAGGTGTTGGTTTTATCTTCTTAGAAAACTTACTTTTAGAGAACAAAACAAAAATAAAAGTAAAAGGTAAGCTAAAAGACTGGAGGAGCTTGGGATTTAACCACTATGTATAGATACTATTGTTGAAATATATCCTCTACCAAAATCTTTATTTGCCATCTTTTAGATGTATTGTGCTTTCTTTGAAAGAGCCAAGTTAAGTGGGGACATTGTAGAAAGGCCTAGAGAGGCCTGTAATTCAAGGTGGCTCCAGGAAGCAGGCAACTCGAGATTTACAACCTTTTCAGCTGAAAAAATATAGCTCTAGCCACAAGCTCTAGTGAAGTTTTATTTGTATTTCAACACAGTGCATTTCTGTTTGTGATACTTCCCTTGGCACTTTAATTCCTTTTTCTATTCCCCAAACAACAAAAATAATTGGTGCTACTTTTATTTGCTAACTGTTCAGCTTAAAGGAGTTAAACAGGTTAAATGAGATGGGCTAGTTAGAAAGACTTTTGAGGAAAACCAAACAATATTGCTATTTCACTCCCATGGAGATTTGGAATGGTATTTTATATGTCCCAGATGTGGCCACATTCTGCCTAACATCTGTTAGTGTATTTTATTAAAATAATGAACTAACATGTGTTTGAAAAGCCAAAAGAGTGAATTAAAGTTTTCATTGTGATGCAGCATAGATTGCTGTTTCTTTATAGTTCGTAATGGAAGTGTATACTATTGTGATATCCATTTTCAAATATAAAATAAAGTATGATTTAATAATTACCGGCTTTCAGTAATTACTGGCTTCTAGTACGAAGAAAATTCAATCCATTAGAACAAACCTTTGCAGATTTTTTTTTTCTTTCAAAATGGTTACTGTGAGAGATGAGGTTTGTGCTTTGGCATTGATCTAGGAACATCAACAATCATCCTGGAAGCTAACAAGGAATAGATGATTCAGATTGAAACTCAGAACTAAAGTGGAAATTCCTCTAGTAAAGAAGGATAGAAGATCCCAATGGGAAAGTACAGATGAAGATTGCAAAATATTTCAATCAAATTACAGTTCGCTCAAACTGCCTTTGTGGGCATTTTAGTTTTTCCTGCTTAAGAGAAGCATGGTGCCAGAATGATTTTTTGTGAGGTGAGAGAATGGAGGGTAAAGACATCTCCTATCTAACACAGTTCATAGAAATATTTTTTAGTAAATAATTTAAAAGAACTGCCAAATCCCACCCATATAAGATAAGTTAATTTTATTTTAGACTATATCAAGATTTGGAAACTCTTGCAGTATCCATCTGCTGAGACATTAGCATTTCATACTCCACAAAAGCAAACCACTTAAATATATATTGAAAAACATGCTAAAGTAGGTTATAATGTAGGTAAATTTGAAAAACCATTCTGGTCAATCTATAATACTAAGGTTTTTTTTGTGTTATATTTCTAGTCTTTCCATATAAAATTTTTGTTTTATCAGTTTTTTAAAAATAAACACATTTTATAGGTCATGCTTATAAGATCAGAATTGACTGTGGTTCTGTATGTATTATGAAGACTACCACATAAGGAGTAAGATGGCATAAAGCTAGCTGTAAGTGTCTCCTCTTCTCATAGTGTCCTGTTAGGGATATATGGGGGCCTAACGCACCACCTTGTGTCCCTCTCTAATGCTTCTCCTCTGATGTAACTATAATTAATCCTTGTTCTGTAACAGCGTTATATTCAATTAGTGGATTTCCAATTCCGTGACTTATTGGCAGGTACACATCCTTAGCTATCATTCTTCGTTCTTGGACTTTATCACATTAGCTGCTCTAGTTGGACCCTTTCCTAAAATTTGAAAGACTGCTGTGGGCCTGTTCTTAGTGCAGCTGTCCCTTCTTCCACATGGTCAGGTCTTAGCTAGTTGCCAACCCATTCGCTTCCTGACTTGGCCCTTTAATTTGATTTGGCTATATCTTCAACCCAGCCTTTAGCTTGGGGTTTGACACATAGTATATGTAAACTGCAGTACAAGCGTGTGTCATAAACATAATTCATGGTACTCCCATTCATGGCACAGAAAAAAACCCTTCTTCTCTATGCCATTCATAGCACAGAAAAAAACACCTTCTTCTCTATCAACAAATACAGAAAGAAGTGGGAAAAAACTGAGAAGCAATGAGGTTGTCATCGTTGGTACTGAATACTAAAGGAGTGATTTTAGCTCAGGATTTTGGGTCACTATGTGATAATGTTGCAACTACCTAAAGAAAAATAATGACCAACAGGAAAGTTTATTCTTGGTGAACTATCAACATGTAGAACTGTATTTGGATGTTGATTTTAAAGAATCCTGTCAAAATACACTATCATTTAAAAGTACAAGTTTAAAATGCTATACATTAATCCTTATATTCCAATTGAAACTTGAAATTTGACCAGTTCTGTTCTTAAACCACATTTAGCATCTCTCTTTTTCCCCTGTTCATTCGCTTGGATTAGTAGTAGGCAAATACATCCCTGCCCTACCATATACTACTAATCCAAGCAAACATATACTAGTAGTATATCACTAATCCTAGCATGAGGATACCATGTCATTATTCATCTTTCAACGCCAGTCATTATTCATCTTTATATGTGCCCCAGCAGTTGACACAATGCAATATACATTTACATAATATATGTATATATGTGCCTGTCTGTGTGTGTGCGTGTATACGTGTGTATACACGCACACACACACACAAATATCTTGTTCCCAAGATACTTTTGGTATGGTTTTGAGTAATAATAACAACTACAATTTGTAAAAAGCAGTCACTAAAAATACCTGCTTTATATTAAACATTACAATAACATTTAGAAAATGCAAATTTAAATAGGAACAATTTTCTACTTAACCTTTTTTTTTTTTTTTTTGGAAACGGAGTCTCACTCTGTCACCCAGGCTGGAGTGCAGTGGTGTGACCTCGGCTCACTGCAACCTCTGCCTCCCGGGTTCAAGTGATTCTCCTGCCTCAGCTTCCCTAGTAGCTGGGATTACAGGTGCCCACTACCATGCCCCTCTAATTTTTGTATTTTTAGTAGAGACGAGGTTTCACCATGTTGGTCAAGCTGGTCTTGAACTCCTGACCTCGGGTGATCTGCCCGGCTAGGCCTACCAAAGTGCTGGGATTACAGGCGTAAGCCACCACGCCCAGCTTTTACTTAACCATATTAAAGGAATCATAATACTCAATGTTTATAAACACAAATATTGCTTACATTACTGATGTTCACAAAAATGATACAACCTTTTAAGAGGACAATTTTGTGGTTATCTCTCAAAAATTTTTAAAAGCTTTAAATTCGTCTTTTAAAAATATTTTTAAAAAGAAGTATTTGTAGAGACAGGGTCTCACTATGTTGTCCAGTCTGGTCTTGAATTCCTGGGCTCGAGCAATCCTCTCACTTCAGCCTTCCAGAGTGCTGGGATTACAGGAATGAGCTACCATGCTTGTCCTCTCAAAATTTTAAATGTGTATATCTTCTAGCCTAAGAAATGTCCAATTCTAGAACTCTTTCCCATAGAAGTACCCACACAAGTGTGCAAAGAAATGTGTATATGGATGTTAATTTTTGTGTTGCTTGTATTTGTAAAATATTGAAAATAACCCACTTTTTTTGCTAAGTAAATTTTGGTATATCCATAAAGTACTACATCATATAGCTGTCAAAAAGAACAAGATGGAGCCACAAGCACTAACATAGAAAGATATTAAAGATATATTAATAAGTAAAAAATCAAGTTAGCAATATGTTCCATATAATCCTGTTTTTATAATACAAAAAAAGTCTAAAGAATGTGCACGAAACTATGAAAAGGGACTGCATTTGAGTAGAGGAGAATTTCTGAACACTTTCATTTTCTAAATTATTTCTTCATTTCTGCATTGGTTTGAATGCTTCCCAATGAAATAAAAAATTGTATTTTATTACAAAATTGGTAAAGATGCAATTATATATAAAAAGCAAACTGGTCTAATAAAAGTGAGTGAACATTTTAGCATATATCTACCTATTATTAACTGCGAGAGTGTGGTAAAGAAAACAACTGTTCTAGATCAAGCATCATCAGCCAAAACAAACAGAAAAGGTAGAACTTCAAAAGTCCTTGTTTCTACAGGTCTAGTTGTATAGTGTCCTTGAAAATCAGGCATTCAAATGGCTTATTATTAGACCTTAATCTCTACTCCCTTGAACATTCCTTACCCTATTTAGTAAGAATTTAGGCTAAACAGAGACCAACCAATGACTATAGATCCCTCAAATAGCAGCAAAGAGTTCTAGGACCTATATAATTATCTTGGGACTCAATTCTCCTCCTACTAATTTATATCTCACAATCTCTAGGGAAAATATCAGGTGTTTTTTGCTAATTAGTCTCCTTAGCACTCCCTCAAGAAATTCCTACTGATTTAACACATGATTGCTGGAAGCAACTACACATGGTAGGTTGAGAATTTACTATTTGAATTTCCCATCTTATACACCTCTATTTCAGGGGATTTTAATTTTTCAGATGTTTTGAGATCACCATATGGTGAAAAGTTTCAACGATGTATCAGGCTTGTTTCAGAAGACTTGACGTCCCTCCAAATCTGGTGCAAATGGCTCAAGCGGTCACAGCAAGAGCACTGGCCACTACAGTTAGGATAGAGTGGGGTAAGGGTCACACAGAAATAGAGGGACCCCAGGACTGGCTGAAAAGGACAGGAGATTTGTCCAAAGTGGCCAAATGCCCAGAGCTGGAGCAATAACCGAATACACAGGCAAGCAGGAAGTACGGGAAAGTAGGGCTTAGTATAAGTTTAAGGGGGTGCAAGGGACTCACCTGAAAATTTATTTGGGGGTCTGAAGCCAAGAACATAAAGAACAGCTATACCTCCTCCTCCAGTGGAGAGGATAGCAAGTGTAGTGGGGAATAAGAGAGAGGTGCAATATGGCTGATGTGAGCGGAGGCTGGCAAAGGGATACCCCTGACCTAGACTCTAGGTCCTAAAGTTGTAAGTGGGCCAAGTCTAAAGACACATGCAAAACCCAAAGTTATTGGTGAGGGTCATGAAAAACAGAGGGTCAGTTAGGAAGATTAGAGATGCAGATGCAAACAGCTCATGAAAATTTGAAACAAAAGCTTTGAGATAGATGTGAGGAATCAATGAGTGAGATGAAAAGAGCCAGGGACAGTGAGATCTGGACATAAAATGATTGCACTTTATCTGAGTTCTCCTAATTTCTCTGACCCTCTGACCCACTCCAGCTCAGTCTCTTTTGTGGCATCTCATCGTTCACCCCAAACCCTAAAGTTTTGGGATGTCCCAGGATTCAGTCTTAGGACCTTTTTTCCATCTTAGTTTATACTCTCTTTCTGGGTAATCCTATTCAGTCACATGGTTCTAAGTACCGTCCATATGTTGACAACTTTCAATTTTCTCCAAACTTAAAGATCCCAGAAGTTTCTCCAGACTTACAGTCCTCTCCTCTACTTATTCGCCCCTCCTTTAGATGTCTGGTAGGTATCTCAAATATCAAATGCCCAAACCAGACTTCCTTTTCGAAATATAAACAAAGAGTAATATATGATGTTAACTGTCCTTTTATTTGTAGCTATAATATCTATGTTGCTTTACTAGTCCCAGGGGAATTAAAAGAAATTATTCTTTATAATTACTTAAAACCACAAAATAATTCAATTGTAAAATTAATGTTTTAAGTGTATTTACATGCATTTCATTTATACATTATTCCCTTATTAAGAGTCTATAAATCATCAGACTAATTTGGAGAGATGTAAGATATAAACCCTATCCTCAAAGAACCCAGCATCTAATGGGGTGAAGAGGCACATACCAAATGTTATGAGGCCAATACAAGTAAAGGCAATAGGAATAACTCCCCCTTACAGCTCATTATTAATTACACACTATGGAATAGCATCTCTCATAAGACTCTAGTCACAGCAATATTAGTTTTAATCCTGGAAATTAGAAGAATTATAGGCAAATTCACAACTGTGCTAATAGCAAACAACCTCATAAACTCTGTGTCAGGTACAGTGCTAAATATTTTGTAAGTGTCATTTCCCTGAATCTTCACAACCCTGTGAGGAAATTACCATCAGTATTACCACATTATGCATTAGAAAATAAAGGTTTAAAGCATCTTAATACTTACCTGAGTCAACTCAAAATAACAGGGTGGGCAAATCCACACCCTTAACTACTATTCTTTTTTTTCTTTTTTTTTTTTTTTTTGAGACAGAGTCTCGCTCTATCCCCCAAGCTGAAGTGCAGTGGTGTGATCTCAGCTCACTGCAACCTCCGCCTCCTGGGTTCAAGTGATTCTCCTGCCTCAGCTTCCCGAGTAGCTGGAACTACAGGCATCTGCCACCACACCTGGCTAATTTTTGTATTTTTACTAGAGACGCAGTTTCACCATGTTGGTCTGGCTGATCTCAAACGCCTGGCCTCAGGTGATCCACCAGCCTCGGCCTTCCAAAGTGCTGGGATTACAGGTGTGAGCCACTGCACCTGGCCCCATCCTTAACCACTATTCTAAACTGCCTTTTCATAATTGATGGGTCTGCTTTAACTAAAAAAATACTGCTTAAGTTTTTTTTTGGGGGGAGGGGAATATTTGTACTAAAATAAAAGAATAAATTTCTGAATAAACCAAATAGCTAATATTCCTATTATACTCCAGTAATCAACCTCTATTACTAAACATATTTGGGTAAAAAGGACTATAGGGCAAGGAGCCTAGCTCCATGAAATGGTGGGGTCAGTTTTCCAAAGGTCATAAAGACACAGTAGCAGAGATTGGTCTTTTCAAGTTTCCTGCTGATGGATTGCCTTTGAATATAAGCTTTTCATTCCAAAGGACATTCTGTGTTTGGGGCCCTCTGTTAGTAGTTATCCATAGATAAATTAAGATGGAGAAATCATCAAATTTGCAGAGGCTAGGTGAATAGAAGCCAAAGCCTATAGGAATACAACCTTCCAAATTTATTATCTGTTTTGCATTGATTTACCACATATGGCAGAAACTTAAACCAGATGTATTTTAATGGAGGGGGCCATCTCATGACGAGAGCACAGGAATGTGGCCTCAACTTGAAAGTAGAGAATCAATACTTCTAGGTAGTTCAGAAGTTTCCTTTTATGCTGATTGTACACTAGAATAAAACTTTTCCAATCATCTTTTCAAATTAAGTGGGATTCCACTTCTTAATCTGGAAGTTGTTGAAACTTCTGGCTTTTGAAATTCAATTATTTTCATTTTCTGAAAGACCCATGATTTTCTGAGTAGTTTTTCCTTAATCTAAAACAAAACATTCTTGGAAAATATAGCTTCAATATATAAATATTCACATCTACACATCCCATTTTGCTCCATTCTCGTCTGGAATTTAGACATCACATTTTCTTTTTTTTTTTTTTACAGGTCTAACATTCCCTTTATTGCTTACGTCGCATATACCAATGAATACAATAAACTCCTTTTTAAAAAAGTAAGGCACATGAAAAGCCTTTTGTGCAAGTTCCATATTATTTTAAAATTCCTATTGGCTAATAAAAGCATTTCCACTATAGAACCAAAGACATCTAGAAAAGCACATGATAAATTTTTTTGCAAGCAGAATGCCTCAAACATTATTACATTTACCTCATGGCACAACGAGACAGTCACCAAATCCAAAGTCTGCATTATAATGATGCAGCTACTATTACAGTTGGAAAACATTAATCACCTTATCCACATATGTACAGCTGGGTCCCCACATGGTAAAATCTAAAGGAAGAACAGCATCTAACTGCATCTGGGTTCCATTCCCTCACAGGACATCACATTTTCATAGCTAGAATTCAATAACACATCTTTGTCTGTCATCTGCTTTATTTTAATTAAACCAGTGTCTTAAAAATTCTATTATTTGAAGTCACATTTAAGTATTGAAAAAAATTTCATTTTAATGATGTATGTTTAAGGAAAAAAATTTTCCACATTAGCCCAAAATGAATTTTGGATGCACAGTTGTAAAACCTTTTTAGTTTTCAAAAATTTAAAAAGTATTCGTGGAGAAAAAAATATTATAAATGCTTTAGTTTAGGAATAGTCTTGGAAATTAAAAATATACAATATGGGCCAGGCCAATGGCCTGTAATCCTAGAACTTTGGTAGGTTAAGGCAAGAGGACTGCTTGAACCCAGGAGTTAGAGTTAGCAAGACATTGTCACTACAGTAATAATAATAATAATAATAATAATAATAATAATAAGCAACAGAGAATAAATGTGCAGTCCTTTCTCTCTGAGAGAAAATTATATTGAAAATCATTAACTGAGCAATGATATTACAAGTACCTGTGATTTAGTTTTCACTATGGTTTCACAATACATTTACATGGTAAAACACATTTTTAAAAATAATTAGGCAGAGCGTAGGTGGTTCATGCCTTTAGTCCTTGCGCTTTGGGAGGTCGACGCTGGCAGATCCCTTGAGTCCAGGAGTTTGAGACCAGCCTAGGCCACATGGCGAAACCCCGTCTTTACAAAAATTACAAAATAGCCAGATGTGGTTGCATGTGCCTGGAGTCCCAGTCACTCAGGAGGCTGAGGTGGAAGGATGACTTGAGCACGGTATGCAGAGGTTTCAGTGAGCTGAGATCGTGCCACTGCACTCCAGCCTGGGTTAGGGAGGCCACGCCCTGTCTAGAAAAAAAAAAAAAAGAAGAAGTCAATTTAGACAGTTTCTTCTATAGGTGAACAATCAAAGACCTATCAGTCATAGTGCTGATATGTACACATGTCCACACATACATGTGATTGAGTGCCAAAGAAAGTTAATTTACTCAAAATCAGAAGAAAAATCCCTCACTCTGTAAGGAGTTATCTGCAGGAAACTAAACACACACCTAATAGAAGCTATCTGAATACCTCATTGCATTGTCTATAAATTGCCAAAGCAATTGATTCCTTTTTTATAACTTTATTTGATTGTGTGTTGAGCATTCATTGTATCCCGGACTCCCTTCTAGGCACGGGGGTGGGGGCACCAGAAAAGATGCATAAGTGATATATCTTGTTTGGCCAGTTTAGAGTAACCACAAGGTCATATTTCTTTCTTGTGAAGGTAAAATTTACATATAGTAAAATGTGCATCTATTAAGTATACAAATGAAAGAATTTTAACAAATACATGTATCCATGTAATCAATACCCCAACCAAGACATAGTACATTTCTGTTCCCCCTAAAAGGCTCTTTCATGCCCTCCTTCAATCAGTCTCCCTTTCCTCATACACGATCTCGTTCTGAATTCTTTTTATCACCATAGGTTAGTTTATCTGCTCTTGAAAGTCACATAAATGGAATTTTATAATATCTATTGTTTTTAATCTGTTTTTAATCCCACTTAATGTTTTAGAGATTCATGGTGTTGTATTAGTAGTTCATTCCATTTAATCACTGTATAATATTCCGTTGTACAAACATACCGCAATTATTTTTAATTCATAATCTTTTTGAGAGATATTTGAGTTTGTTTCAAGTTTTTGACTATTAGGAGTAAAGCTATTAACACCATTGGTCAAGTCTTTTTGTGTGTGTCTCAGGCTCTTGTTCTGTTGCCCAGGCTGAAGTGGTGCAGTGGTGTGATCACTGCTCA